TTTAAGTTATAAAGTGAGTCAAAAAAGTATTATCATCAACAAATTTCACTATTCAAGTAGAAAAATGTATTTCTATTTTGCATAGTGACTTACACTTTGTAAAGAATCTAGCATATGAAAGAAGAGCCAGGGAAATAAGCCCCAGAATCACTGTAGAGATTTTCCATGCAAAAGCTGGATCCCGAAGAGCTACAGAAAGAGATAAATAAACATTACGGTATCTGCCTAAATATTTGCCAGAGTTCAGCTTTGGATATACTAATTCACAACACAGCTCACACCTAAAATAGAGAAAAGCAAGATAATATTCAAGTCAATTTTCATGCTGAGTGTGTTAGCTCAAGTCAAAAGAATTAAGGTGAACTGAGTCGTAAAGTAGACATATCTCTGTGTCCATGGGGAGACAAGACACACTCTGCTTCACTTTGTCAAATCAGAGGAGGCTGTCTTTAAGCACTGAAGCATTTTAACAAATGTCCGAGAGTATATAGAATTCATCTTGAAATTAGAATTGCATATATTGATAGCTATAGACCAAGGGGTATTCACTCTCTTGACAGCAAAATCTGTCGATTTCCACTGGGTACTTGTGGAAAAGCGGGAGGTTCAGAAGACCTGAGAGACCCCCTCCTGTGGAACAGGTCTACATGGATAGACTACATTTGTGAGTATAATGGGTAAATCCAGGGGCCATCCTGTCATGAACAATATGTAATATATGAGAAATGGCTGCCCTTGAGAGCAAACATCAAATTCAACTGGTGTCTGGAACGCCAATAAAGACAAGCTGCCCCCTGGGGAAAGCATAACAAATGCAGCAATATCACCGCCTCCCCCAGTCTGCAAAAGTTCAGTTACTGCTGGAAGGAAAAGAGGAAATCCGTCTGGCCTGCACCTTGCACTGATGAGGGGTAAGAAATAAGATCTGCAGACAAGAAGATACATTTCAAAGAATGTGTTTAAAGAAATTTTGATATAGTTAGCAAAGGCAGAAAAATAGGAAGCTAGTCAAACTTCCTATGTACACACATTCCACTAAAATGACAGCTATCATGTGTAAACAGAGAAACATAATACTTAATTATGCAAACTCAACATGCTGGCAAGTAGGTGAATCAAGAAAAAAAGAAAAAAGAACACTCACCTCACAGTAAGTATAAAAAAATGAATATATATATATACATTTTTCCATTTTTCTGCTTTCTATATAAATTAATGTGTATGTTAGCATTTTAAAATAATGGAAAAGGATAAGTAACATAACTGAAAAACATTGATTCAATGTAGCAAAAACTATTAAACTTTATAGGAAAAAACCCTAATTTGTCCTGAATGTATATATTCCCTTCTTTGCAATTTATAAAGTGTGTGTGTGCACCATAGTATGTGAACATGATTACACATGATCGTGTATATATTTAATGCAATTTAATAGAAGACTATGTAAAAAGTACACAGACCTTCATGCTTCTAATCTGATGATCTCTTTTGGAAGAGGTTCAAGTTCTTGAATTTCCTTTGACTGAGATGGACCCTTATTCCAAATCCAAACAAGTTACTTCACTCACCACTGAAAGGTGTAAGGATGATACAATTAACAGAAAGTCTTATCTTCAATGAGTATAAACTGTAACATTAATAAGTAATACTGATGTTGAGTAAAACAGTGTAGGGAATGAATTCAAACACCTAGTAATTTGCATATAATCCCAAAGATGAAAAAACTTTGGGAATGAAAATACACAACAGCATCTAATTTCTGGACTCTAGGTTGCCTATTCACCATTATACATCTTATATGTTGATATTTAAAAAATCACAGAATAAAGTAATAACACAATTCAAAAAACATTGATTCGTAGTTTGCATTCCAGAGAACATTACTTAGCTTCATAGGGAGAAACTCTTAATCAGTTCTGAAAGTGTGTATTTCTTTTCCTTTTAAAACTTGAACAACTAAAGTGTGTGTGTGCTTGTAGGTGCCCATAATTATACATGATCTTATATATATTTAATAATTTTTTAAAAAGAAAATTTAGAAAGCATACAGACATTCATGATTATAATCTGGTGGTTCTTTTTTTTTTTGAAGACCTTCAAGTTCTTGACTTTCTTGTGACTGAGATGGACATTGACTTTGCAGATTAGAACAAGTTAATTCATTCACTCCTGTGTTCTATTGGGTATTTGGGTGCTAGTGTTGGGGTGGTAGAGAGTGTCTGATACTATCCAGGAAAGAAAGGAAAGAAACAGAAAATACAAAGCTGAGGAATGTGAGAAAGATTTTGACATCTTCAGGTGACTATCAATCCAAAATGATCCAGAATGGAAAGATGGCCTCTACCAACACCTTTCTTTTATATTATATTTATATGTACTCTAATGTCTGTACACATGCAGGGCAGCCTGACACCAGAGACATGAGGCCTCAGATAATAGCAATAGATCTAATTGTTATTAAATACCTAAGAAGAAAAACTTCTTTAAAATAGATTAGACAAGATGAAATTTCTACGTTTAGGATAAGGTCAATTAATAGAACACATTTAAACATTTAAGTAAAATATTTCAGAAAAATCAAACTTTTACAATTTGTTAATTTTGCAGGCCTGATAGTAATGGATACCTATAAAAAGGACCATCAATCTTTGACATACATCTTTTGCCCAAATTATTATGTTAAAATTGTTAAAGCATTATCATATTTTATATGTCTTCCTGTATCATCCATAAGTCCATCAATCAATCTATCCATCCAGCATCTATCTACCTAGCTACCTATCTATCTGATGACAGCTCGGGAATGTGCAAATCGATTGATACTCACTGAAAGATTGTTTATAACACAAGTTAGAAGCTGAGTTTTCTAAACTGATAGTTTTTATTGATCTGACAGTTCTTGAGGACACCATTTACAACTATGTAAACCAATGAAATTTCAACAAAGTTAAAAAAATGAAGCAAAGTGTTATAAGTCATTGTTACTACAATAAAAATTTTAAAATAGGATGTACAATGTCAACTTCATGGCAGAGGAAGACACTATCATCATTTGCCCCATGTGAGCAAGATTGTTGTTACTATGTTGGAAGTATAACATATCCCCCTTCTGGTGCAGTCACCATAGTGCACCTAAGCACACACATTACCCACTGTGCTCTCTCCATATCCTGTTCTTGCCCCACCCTCTCCTCCTCTGGAGTCTCAGTTACATGGTCAGCTTCCATGGATTGGATTTAATGTTTGTCTTTACCTAAGAACATTTGTCCTCAACTCTGACTCCACTTCTTAGTATGTGAGAATGCAGGAGAGACCCAAGTGTCTGTAATCTAAAGTCTGTTGTACAGGGCCTCCCTGGTGGTGCAGCGGTTGAGCGCTGGGCTGCGAAGATGCTCATAGCCTCTGCAGCACCGGTTTGATCCCCGGCGGCGGGCGAGGGTCCCAGAGGGCGCACAGACCTCTCCCGCCATGCCCACTGCTCCCCTCAGCAGTATGCTCAGTCCTTCAGCCTGTTCTGCTCCCCGCTCTGGCTCTGGTGAATACTTGCACCCTCCCGTGCTTCTGACTGTACCCAGTGCTTATATAAATAAATAAATATATCTTCGAAAAAATAAATAAAGTCTGTGCTACAGGCAAAATGGGTGGGTTACCACACAAACCCAGAGGTTTGAGGAAGAAGGCAAACCCAGAGGTCAGAGGGTGTGTGAGCTGGTAAGAGCTAAACCTGATTCATAGGTAGGAGGTGTGGCATAGTGACTAACCTTCCTGTAGGGTTCTCCTCACCCTCCCTTTCTAAGGCCCCTATAACAGGAGGTTGCCACCCTCCCCTCCAAGTGCCCCCTCGCCCTAATAGAAAAGATAAACATAAAACTAAAGCCACATTACCACAGTCTGCATATAAGAGGGAAGACACTTAATTACTCTGAAAGAAGCCAATTTACTGGACAGAGAGGCACATCCTCAAATAATACACAAAGAGAAAGGCAAATATCGAAAATCAAACTTTTAAAAATATAAAATTTGATGAATACCAGAAAGAAAATTCAAAATAGATGTCAGGAAGACAACACATTCCAAAAAAAAAAAAAACACTGATTGACAACTGATAACTGAGAAGGAAACTTAAATAGAAGAAATTGAAATATCAGAAGCAGAGATCAAAAGTATAAAAGAAAAACAGAACCAGAGATCCTCTATATGCAGATTCATAAATGGAACAAAACTGCTAAAGAAAACATACAAAATAGGATAGAACACAGGAAGAAAGAATTAGTGAGGAGGAAAATAGAAATATAGAAATGACTCAAGTGATAGAGGAGAAAGAATAAGATTTAGAAAATATGATTAAAATATGAGGCATCAGCCTCCATAAGGAATTGAAACTGAAGACAATGGCCATCTTAGAAGATGAAGAGAGAGAGAGAGAAAGAAACAAAATTATTTTGAAGAAATAATAGCTGAGAATGTCCCAAGCCTAGGGAAGGAACTATCTACAAAAATTCATGAAGTCACGATAACATATATTAATCTAACACAAGAGGCACTACACCAACACACATAATAAAAACTTGCCAAAGTTTAAACACAATGATATACAGGTATCCAGAAAGAACTAACATTCAGAAATACAAGCAAAGATAAATCTTCACAGTTTAGAATGTCATTCAAAAAAATGATGTTGACATATATTATTTGATGTGAATTGTTTATTTACATTTATGAAAAGAATATTTACTAGAATACATCCATAAAATATATTAAGTTCAGTATCAAATATGAATTAAATCAAAGTATTCATTAGTCTTTATCTTGATGCCTTATAATTGCAGATAGAGGTAAACAGACACATTATTTTTATAACATTTTCAAATATATATAAATATGAGACAAACTGAAAAATTTCACAGTTCCCCAAATTAGATAATTGTAATAAGATAGGAGGGAGAGTTAGCATTCTTTTACTGGGCCTTTACTGCTCACTTCTTCCACCAAAGAAACATCTAAGTAAGTTGTTTACAGATATAACGGTTTTTCGACTGGCAATCATCATACAAAACTTTACCCTTTGCTCTGTATAATACGCAGTTCTTTGTATTTGCAGTTTGAGGGAGGGGAAATCTGTAATTAAAAATAAAAATTTTAACATATGGGAGAAGGAAATGAAAATGTTCAATGATATTTATTCCTGAATAGTAGATCGTTTCTACTGAAAAGTAGATCTTTTCAATACAGATTCACTGTATTTTTTTTTTTTTAAGATTTATTTATTTATACAAGCACTGGGTACAGTCAGAAGCGCAGGAGGGTGAGAGGATTCACCAAAGCCAGAGTGGGGAACAGAACAGACAGACTGATGAAATACACTGCTGAGGGGAGCAGCGGGTGGCAGGAGAGGTCTGCACGCCCTGTGGGACCCTCGCCAGTGGCCGGGGATCGAACCGGCACTGCAGAGGCTGCAGGCAGATTCGCAACCCAAGGCTCAACCGCTGCGCCACCAGAGGAGGCCCATTCACTGTATTTTTTATTCAGTAGCCACAGTCTTTACAATTTCAGAGTAGAATATTATTAAAATTCAATTATTACCTCTATAATCTGATACATAGAGGTCAGGGATTATTTTGCCTTTGTTATTAATGGTTTTGATATTTGATATACTTCTTCAATCTATATTAAAGATCCACTGACTAATGTAGTCTAGGGAAACAAGACAGGGAAAAAAAAAAATCCCATGTTTATGAATGAAAAAGGGAGTGAAGACTACAAATATATAAAAATAAGTACATGATCTTGGAAACATGGGGGTTGGGGGAAGTTGAGAATAATGGGTTCCAGAAAAATAAAGAAAATCAAGGACACTGTTTTTTCTGGACCGCCCCGTGAATATGCCATCTGCATATCCTTACACCCACAGTGCCGGTTCTATGGCAAAAGAAAAAACATTTCAGAAGCTCTTATATGCTCACAAGTTCATCTAATATATCAAAAGCAAATAAAATTGTTTTTCTGTTCAATTTTCTATGTTTCTATGTTCTGAAAGGAGGATCTTAGCTATAGTCTCTAATGAAATCCAAGAAAATGCTTAAAGACAGAAAAACCCTTGACTCAAAAACTTACAATTTCTGGGAGACAACAGAACCATTTAGCCACACCCAGGCACTTTGATTTGCGCTGTAGGTCACTCCAATCCAGTAAAAGTATCCATTAAACTTCATAAAATCCTGCTTGGATACAAAAATAATTTAATTTAATTTATATCTACTCTGGATGACATTTTTTTTTAATTAGTGTCCAGCATTTGATTCAGCCTTTCATCAAACACATTGAAATTATTTGTAACATTTGATTTAGGAGTAGCCATGAGTTTCTATGTCCTCACATATCACACCCATTCACTTATAAATAACAACACAAAATTTTACGTGTAGACAAAAAGAAAAACATTGTAAATGGAGTTTGAATTTTCATGGAAAGCTTGCTTCACAGGAGACCGCTATTCAAATTGGTTCTCCAGCAATATCTTAAGGGATAAATTTTGTGACTATAATCTTCACTACCTATATTCAACACAGATTCTACATGGGGCTAGAAAAATATTTAACTTTTTTTAAGAATTAGATGATTTTTTTGATGATACATCACAAACTGATGGCAAAATATTGAGAATTATACAATAAATTACAGAATCAGTCAAATAACTAAAAAATAAAAATATTTAGTTGATTATTTAAAATAAAATAATCCTATTATATCTTCTTTGAAATATCTCTAAAATATATCTTGTATTCCACTTTAAATTTGCCTTGAATTTTATTCCAATTAACGTACATCTTTGACAAATTTCATGTAGATTATATAATGTTTAGCTGAAGTTATAGGATACTATTAAATCATTAGCTTAAAAAATAATCATCCAGTATGACCTAATGAAGTTGGAATCAAATTATTCAGCTTACTGAGATGGCATTTTTTCCCTAGGTCTGAAAGCATATAGGAAATCAGAATTAAACACATGCCAATTCATCTTTGCTGTGTACCAGAAGTAGGGTGGAATTCTGAGAATCACAGATATCACTACTTTCTTTCCATGCTTTGAATTCATTGGAAATGAAGTAACAGTTGCACTGATAGCCGATCCATCTTTCTTGGCAAGAACTGTATCCAGAATCTAAGAGAAAAATAACATGTAACTGTTAATAGGAGATTTATTTCAGTTTTCTTTCCTCATTCAAAAATTATTTTTAATTTTTTCCCACAAATTCTTTTGAAAATCTATCTGATCACATATTTGAGTATTCCAGGTACAGCTAAAAATATTTTCTGTTGAACCTGCTCCTTTTTCTGTTTTCTAGGAATAACTCAATCTAGGAATAAATTAGATCCTAGAGATTTTTTTAAGGTTTTGTTTATTTCTCATAGAAGAACTGGGGTGTAGGCCAGAGGTGTGGGGGTGAGAGGATTCACCAGAGACAGAGTGGGGAGCACAACAGGTGTATCTACTGAAATACACTGCTGAGGGGAGCAGTGGGCAAGACAGGAGAGGTCTGCAGTACCATGTGGGTCAGCTCCCTGAAGGGATTCAATTCAGGCCATCCTGGTGGGGCCTCCTGGTGGTAGCACTGAGATTTAACCCAGAGGTCACCAGGGAGGCCACAATCCTGGAGATCTTTAAAGGAAGAAAACATTATAGTATATTTTCTGAATAATAATAAAAAAAAATTATATGTTGGGGCCTCCCCGGTGGCGCAGAGGTTGAGCGCTGGGTTGCGAAGCTGCCGGTAGCCTCTGCGGTGCCGGTTTGATCCGGCTGCTCCCCGGCCACCAGAGGAGGGTCCCACATGGCGCACAGACCTCTCCTGCCGCCCTCTGCTCCCCTCAGCAGTGTACTTCGGTCCTTCTGCCTGCTCTGCTCCCCGCTCTGGCTCTGGTGAATTCTCTCACCCTCTCGTGCTTCTGACTGTACCCAGTGCATGTAAAACAAACAAACAAACAAACAAATAAATAAATAAAAACACGCCGCTATTAAAAAAAAATCATATGTTGGTAGAACTCTGATATGTGATGAGTATTTGATGTATTTGATCTTGTAAAAGAAGATGCATAAAACAATTAGCTTGAAGTCTCATCCCAGTTTACTCTGTTGTATCCTAAGCATTTACTATTCCCCCTTTACGAAGGTACTGAATTGTGGTAGGCACTCAAATCTTTGCAACATAAGTGGTGCTGACATTTGATTACAAAGTGGGGGATCATCGCAGGATTGGGGAATGAGAAAATGATAGATGAAGTATATAAACTTCCAGTTAGAACAAAATATTGTTCAAATATCCCAAAATAAAATTCGCTATCTTCAAAATATTGCATGAAAAAGTTCTGAGGATCTAATACTCAATATTATGAAAGTAGGTAACATTTCTCTATTTCATATTTGTGTTTAGTACAAAAGAGTAGATCTTAATGTTATCAACACAAAGAAAAGTGGCACTTAGGTGATGGAATGGAGGTGTTAGCAAATATATGTCCGCATATTGCAGGAGTTTATCAAATTAACACTGTGCATGTCAAGCTCATACAATGCTCTATGTCAGTTGCATTGCAATTAACTGGAAATAAAATAAAAAAGATGATAAAAATTATAAACCTGAAGTGAGATATGATGACAAAAGATTTTAAGAGAAGTTGTAAAACATTTGAGTAACATGCATTGAGAATTAAGTTTTGAGTAAGCATGCTGGATAAGATACAGATATGCTGAAATCTGTACATTAAATTCTGAGGTAGAAGATGCAGTATCAAAAATAAAGACATATAAATTTATGGTTTAGGAGAAACACAGCCAGTTATTGCAGCTTAGCAAGGATTTCTACTTCAACTTAATTTGATTATTTACTTAAATAAGAACACTCATGCAGGAAAATCTGTCATTTCAGGTTAATATTTCCTTAACACTTGAATATATAGATGATGCATATTCAATGTAATGTAATGATTTGTATACTGGAGAATGATGAAATGAGACTATCTTACAGTTAGTAGGTCAATTTGTATAACTAGATTAAAATATTCCATCATGGGTCTGTATAAAAAAAAGGGGGAAACTGCCTACTTCATCCTCCAGAAACCCCAAAATTTACAAACATGGAACCAACCTTTCTGGATTTCAGTGTTATTTCCTGGAGAGATTGCCCCCTCAATAATAGTTTTATGAGATGCTGTAAGAAATGATAGCAATTATCAGATACAGTTTTTTGAAAAAATAAAATATTCCATGCCAGTAAATGAAACATTTATTATTAAATATTTTGATCAAAACTTCAACTTTATATAGAAAAACTTTGCCTAGAAAAAGTTTCAACTTTGCCTAGAAAAACTTACCATGAAACACCAACAAAGTTCCCAAAATAGCCATCAACAAAAGGCAGGTTACCCCCAAGATCCCAGAAATCCACCTCCATAGAGTGGTCTGATGAGCTGTATAGAAAGAGAAGTAGGGTAATGACTTCAAAGGAAAATCCTGGAGAAGTTCGTAAAGGCAGAAACTACTAGGAGATAATCCAAAAAGTTTTTTAATTTGGTGATCTGATTGCCTGTCAGTGAAACATTGGAAAATGAAACAAGCTTTTGCAAGCTCCATTCAATACTGAAATTTATTGTGAGATTATTCATGCATTTTCCTCTTTACTGTATAGATCTTAGTAATATAGACTCATCGGTAATTTTTTGGAGGGGAGGGCATGGAAATAGGGAGATCTGAGTAAGAAGAGTTGGACAGATACAAAGTTCTGTTTGTAGACTTAAATAGTGGACATTAACATGGTCTCTCAGGGAAAATCATAAGAGGTATCACTCCCAATAGGCAGTTAAGAAAAATTAGGTCTCTTTCACAATATCACTTCTTCAGGGTATCAGAGTTGGCAGGTATCCAACTCAGAAGTAAAATCAATGGCTAGTCCCTGTAACACAGACATCATTTTGAAAATGCTGCCTGGCAGTGTTCTCTTCTAATCAGTCCCTGCTAGAGACATGTCAGGGGGCTCATAACCAAGAAGTTGAATAGGGATGAAAAGACAAAGGACACCCTGGACCTGGTGTGATGAAGGCTCCCAGGACATACAGGGATGACTCCCTGGAGACCTGCATTTCTTTTAGGTAATTTGCATGATGACACTTAAGCCAACATGGGTTACAAGACGTTGCATTTTCTCATACCCAAAATTACTTTTTTACATGCATTTCCCTTCAAAGAAACGAACATTAGAAGATTCTGCATTAACATGGGTATATGTCCTATATTGCCATTCACACTCTAGTTGGTAAAACTATTATATTAGCTGACTTTTAGATGTCAAAATAAAATGAGAATTTTTTATAAATTTGCAAACATTGGCATTAACATTTCAAATTCTCTAGTTAGTTCTAAAATCAAATAGTGTTGCTTTAATTTAACCTGGTAAATCAGTCCCGTAAGCTGTTAGTGCTATCCCTGTCAGAAACCATCCTTTCAACCTTTTGGAAAAGTTTCAACATTAATTTCTATAATTAAGAAGGAAAAATAATAAAATAAAAATCAGAGGCACATACTGATATATATGAAATTTAAAATCTCACTATTTTTGCCTGTCCAGCCTCGAAATGATCAATATCCATAACATGCATTTTCTTGTTTTTATTTTCCAGTTGCATAGCAGGGGCTACACATACCTGCCATGAGGAAGGTGCTCCTGGTCACCGTGGGGAAGGCTCGCTTGTTCCAGAAGATCTGGGTCTGGGCACGGACTGAGCTTGATGCTTAGGAACCAGTTGTGTAAGAAGTTGTGTAAGAAGAAAGTTGTGTAAGAAAGTTGTGTAAGAAGAAAGTTAAATGAAAGATGGAAATTCTGCATTTAAGCAATGTTCTCAAATCACCTATTTACTGGTGAGAGTGGATGGACAGTATGAAACAGATGCAGCAAAATCATGAGCTTCAAATGTTCCGGAACCACAATACAGGAAATTCTCACTGTACTTGCGTGGTGCCTCCCTTTGTTTATGATAAAAGGTCAGAGGAAGTTTTTTTTTTTTTAATTTTTGAACATCAAATAATTTTGTAAAAATATTTGGAAAATAGAGGGAACATGGACAACCTAATTGTATGTACTCAGTATAATAAAATTACACAAATAAAATTTCCTTTTTTAAATAAAAGTATTCATTATTATATTGTACTAAACACTGAATGAAA